AACTCCCTCTATCCCACAGCCTTGAATGCTTATAAGATGGTAAATGCAGCAAAGGTGACAAGTCTCTCCTCTTACCACTCCTAATAGCCAGCCCAGCTCAGACATTGCTAATCTGAATTGCAGGCAAAGCTGATAACCATTGCCAGCGTTAAAGAATTGAGAAATGTACATCACTTAAATCGAGTTTTTTTCATCCTTGCTGGACCCAAAATCGCGGTTTGACCTGACTGCTTCTATATTATAATCTTTTACAAGACTTACCTTAGTAAAATGCAAAAATTCGTGTATTTAAATACGCTATTCTATAAGGAATGGTTCGCAAGTTCATTTTCTTTTGACAAGTAAGCTCAGCCACAAATTTTTTTATGTGGCTAATTTGGAGCCGTAACACCCGCATACTTCAAATGTATAAGATCAGCATCTTTGGTACGGCCATGACCACTTTATCGTTAGAAGAAGCTAATGAGGTAAACATTAGTAACGAATAAAAAAGACTACACTACCACTACCGCTGCTGCCACTGTCAATGACAGAGGCTAAGTAATAAATTGTTTTTGTTTTGTGCTGCTGCAAAAGCAGATTTCTTCGGCCGGTGTGTCAGGTAAAGGAATTCAACAATAACAATAAGGGGATGCAAATTGGTTTCTCTTCTCACCTAATGGACAGGATCAGTCCGTATTAGTAGCTTGCATAAACTGTAAGTGGAAGATGATGCATTAGCGAACAGCACTTGCGTAGCTCATTAAGGTAACACGGTTGTCAGTCACAGCCTATAAAATATAAGAGAATGTAAAATTCATCAAACGGGGTGAATTTTTTCAGTCTACCTCTTAACCTAAGTTAAAATTACTTTGGTATAACTAGAAATAGGCTTCGAATTATATCGGTCTGATTTTATTGAATAGTTGACCGATCTCGTGCCCAAAGAAAAGTTAACCACCAATTGGTACGATTGCCTTTTTGGCAAACGAACATTCCCCCCACGGTCGACGATGCTACAACCTACCATCATTTGTAATGTAAAAATTCGTCCGTCTTCTGCTGCTCTTGGTACCACGCGAGTGTCTAACCATTCATCGTTATGCCATCATAAGTTTCTAGGATAGTTCCCCTCTGATTCTGAATTATTTTACTTCTTTCAAACTATTCGGTAGTAGCGCGTGACTATACTGTCTAACCGCGAGCACTTCGGAGGGTTTATCCATTTCTGTTTTAGCCCTAGGCTCATCCACCTCCTGCTTGGCTAATTTATAAGCTAAAAATTACTCAGAACGCGGGTTAATAAACTATAGAGTGAAGATTATTTCTAGTGCGTTTCTTGATTAGCTTAAAGAGGAAATGTCAAATGTTGAATGGACACTAAACTTTCCTGTTTGACTTGTTCTCCAACAGCGTCAAATTAACAGGAGACTCGATCGTCTTGCTTGATCCCCCACGACATATTTAAAGGCCTCATGCGTAGAAAAGGTGGAGTAGAGGCAAAAACCAAAGTAAAAGTATCAATATCATAGTAAAACAATTAAATACACCTGAGCTGTGGTGTCGATTACCGTTTAAGTCCCCGGTGAAGAACTTGTTGGTAGTCTGACTTAACTGCAACATTTCGGAAATGTCATGAGATATCGCATAAAATAGGCAATCTAGTCATGAATTTGGACAAAGCTCCCACTATTTCTTGCGTAGTTCTACCAAATAGTTCAAATAGCATTT